ATTCCGCGGTGACCGCAGCGGAGGGAGATAGCGCACTCGATTACCCCAAACCCGTCGAGGCCTAACCAAACGCTGCCGCCGCCCGCCGCCAGATCGAGCGATAAGCAGCGCGGCATTGGTGCCGCCGGCCTCTCCGCCATGCGTCCTGTCGCCCACACGCGCCCGCGCCCTCCCCCTCCTCCCCCCGCCCCCCCCCGCCACCGGGTTCCGTTCCACACGCATCGCCCGCAGATTCCTCGTTCCCCGCTGGGGGACAGAGAACCTCATCACGGACAGAATCTAGGAGTCGCAGGCTTCTGCAGCAGCATGTGTGGTGGTCCCCGAGATTCTGCAATTCATCCTTTTTGTAGTATTGTACGAGAACACGTTCTTTCGACAATACTGTACATTTATATCGACTAAACGCAGTCAGGTAGACAAACGAAAAGCCCACCTACATGCATGCGTCTATGTCACCCGCACGCGCCCACGCCCACACTCACAATCCCTCCCAGTTCGGTACCTCACGCATCGCCCGCAGCTTGCTTGCTCGCCACTGGGGGCAGAGGACCTCGTCACGGGCAGAGAATCTTGTAGTTGCAGTCTTCAGCTACAGCATGTGTGGACGTCCACGAGATTTAACTATCACGCATTGCTCCTCGCTGGGGGACAGAGAACCTCACCGCAGATAGAGGGAATCCTGTAATCGTGAGCTTCTGCAGCGGCAAATGAAGATGACCACGAAATCCAACAATTCATCCTTTTTCTTAATATTGTACAGTTATAGCAACTTAAAGTATCCAAATAGAAGAACGAAAAGTCATACTTCAAGGCCGATGTACGTTTCATAGTTCACCTTCAGTTAAGATCAATCGAAACAAATAAGTTAAGACGACGCGTTTTCAAAGAATAGATACTTATGATACGAGTGGCAATAGTGACTTTTTTATTTTGCGAATACGAAAGGTTGTGACACGGCAGGTCGGTAGGCCGTGTGGTATCTTACACTATTTTTAGATAGTCTTACTGACTTCTATTTAATTTTTATTCCAGTAAACAAAACACTTAATAATTCACTCAAGTCAGTAATGCACTCAGATGAAACAAAGTTTTCTTTGTTGCATCACAGATTTGTGTAAACACTTGAGAGAGCATAGTGTCACTTTTAGCACCAGCGCTAAAAATTGCACTTTTGGAACGCTACGCATACCCTGAAAGAACCACTTTTACTTGTGAATGATTAAAAAATATATTTCCTGTTTCTAAGATATTTTTATCAAAATCAGTATTAGGAAGATTGATTGGTGATACCAAGCACATCAAGTGCTAAGGTCATTAATCCCGTAAGTGCAGTGCGTGTTTTATCGCGGGTAGTGTGGGTGATCCTCCTGTGAATGGTGAAATCCCACACCGACCTCCCCGTCGGCTTGAGGGTTTTTCCCCCAAGAATCCCCCATCAGTGGAGCACCTACCCAGCCGGGACAAGCTCTAAGCTCCCGACAGGCCTCCCGGCATGTATGGTAGAGAAGTGTAGAAAGGAAAGGGATGAGGGTAGGACAAGAAAGCGGAAGGCAAGATCGCAATAAAAATATAATAATAAGTAAGGGGTATTGAAATGAAATGCTTGCCGGTATGACAAAGGCAACAGGGAGGTGGCGGTGTACATTTATTTAATTTATTCACGTGATTATTTTACTATATTCAAATAAAATTCAAAGGAAAATATTGAGGAATGACATCCATTTTTATGAATATTTACATTCCTCTTGGCAAGTTAGGCCCTTGGAAACATCTGATGAACTATATTGTTTATAGTTTTTTTTAGATGTGTGTACCTTTATAAGACAAGCTCTCACATGACGGAATATTAAAGGTGTTAGTAAGAAGGAGAAGACTGTAATTCGAAATGTTATGAAGAGAGATTACAGAGGCTCAAAGAATGGTCTCGGTAATTTGCGTTTGAGTCAATTTCGATCTGGATTGTGTTTTCCTTGTTAAAAATGCATTGCAGATGGAATACTATTACTTTACAATAAATTTTGCCGAAATTTACAAAAAAATAAAAGGGAAGCGCACCCAACTCATACTGAATTTATCTGTTAGAAATACGCAAACTACGGGATACAGAAGATATTACAGAGGAAGTTTGGATTCGATTTATGTTTATGAAGCAGATTCCGAAATTGCAATATCACTTTGGTTTACAAACTTCATCCGTATTTTTTAATTGCTCTATATCCGCCCAATGACGTTAGTAACTGCATCCTTTGCTTGGGTCCGTTTAAAATAACGTCAGGCTTTGGTTAAGAATATTTGTTGACAACATCCTTTTTCGAGTTTGAAACATATATTTCATAAATTTTATTAAATGAATTTGGCATTACTCAAAAAAATGAAACTGTTTGGGATAACATTTTAAAATAAAGAAATTATTAGAGCCTATAATTTAATGGCGAGATCCAATAACTACAGTGTATACGAAACGCCCGAGATTAGTGCGGACATTTAAGAATTCAAACGAGCGTCCGGAATCAAAAGCCGATAGAGGGCAACTCCGGAATACTGTTTATGGAATATTTCTGCTAGTAACACATGTTAAAATGCTGTTTCATCGACCGTCTTTACCGTACCGAATTGTTCATTACATCGTATTAAAGTTTCTACAAACTCCCCTTACTACGTACTTACGTAGCAAAGAGAAATTATTGTAATTGTCGAAAAATCACTATTACAACTAAATGCAGTAAACATATGTTGTTTTGACCGAAAGGACTGATATTCAACTGTTTCTTCAGACGCGATACAACTTTAAATATTTATGAAAACACAGTGAAGGTTGAAATATTAAAAAGAGAAGGAAATACGACGTCGTAAGAAAGAAATTGTGTTCCAAAACGAGGATGGAAGTGTTACATTACTCGTTTCTAAATTGCGGCCTCGGTTCCTTCTTCACCTTTGCCAGAAATATTTCACGCTCGACGTAACTAACTTTCTCTACGATCATTTAATAATATACGTACTATTCTTACTGTATATTTAATCGACGAATGACATCGAACACACAGTAGTACACACCACGTGGATTCCAGCTCGGAATCCTCAGCCTGTCGACCAACCAAATTCCGAGAATTTTCGAAATCCACAGGCAGAAATGGATTGTCTTTGCAATTTACACTTCTTTTGAGCAGCGGTAGACAAGTGAACGATTTCGCACTTTCATGTACGTAACCTAGACATTGTTGTACTCTCTATTTCTCGCCTTATTTCGCAATTATCATTCAACAGAAAATAAATCTTGAAGCCAGCAACATCGAGAACAAAATTTGAACATCACCTGAAAGTTGGGAAATAGCAAATTCGACAACTCTACAATTATTGCTAGAGAAAACAAGTATTATTAACAATATGTAAAAACTTGCAAAATATCTTACAAACATTATCGCATTTTAGTATTGATGTCAACACAAACAGTGATAAGTATTTCTAACTGTGTAATTATACTATTAATTTTGTCAGAAAATAAATTCAGACATATTATGTATTTTATTTTCCAACTTTGTTTGATGGAGGTAATCCTTATATCTTGAGTTTCAAATATAACAAAATCTGTTCAAAATCTATTCTGAATATTTCCAGGTCACACAGAAAGTAGTCTTCTACACGCGCATAATAGAGATTACGACTCTCCCTCCTTGGTCACACGTGTCGTAAACATCAACTCGTGAATAATAGCCATCATTATGGGCTCATTGAAGAATATACTCTTCCATACTTGAAACGTAAATATAAGAAATAAGTGATAAAATGAAGTTTCTGAAATTAACAATCTAGCGTATAAGATCGGTGCTGACTTTCCACATTTTACAACCAAATTTGGAGGTTCTTTTACCATTGGTTGTAGGAGTATCTTTCCGGTTAGTTTTAGGGTTTTTATTGTATTTTGATTTTTTTAAGCTGACTACAATGACGATCGGCTATCTGCTAGAAATGCGTTGCTGAATATATAGGATTTAAAACAATAAATGTTTAAAATATTAAGTACAATACTTAAAGAAGTACATTCTAATGTAATACAGCATTTCAGTCCACTACTACAAATTCATCATCCATTGTCATGCATTGTAATTTCACATTTAAAACATTTCTAACTATCATTCGTAGTCCATAGGATAATATGTGTGCGCACATTCTATATTACTCACGGTTAGATGCCTTCCGATTCACCGATTGTGGCATGTCAAGGTCGTTCTCCGCGTCCGGATCTGCTGGTGAAGAACTGGAAACTTTTCCGGATCCTTCTAGAACATAATAGTAATAATAGTAATAATAATAATAATAATAATAATAATAATAATAATAATAATAATAATAATAATAATAATAATAATAACAATAGCTGGCCAATCCGATTGCCGAAATCGCTAAGGCAGTGGCGGACTCGGTCCAAAGGATCGCTGGTTCGAGTCCCACCCTGTGTGTATTTCATCATTCATTATCATCACAATTTCTCTCTATCCCCCAAGGACAACTACCCTGGGATGTAAAATTGAAATCAGCGTTAAAATGCTGATCCCCCAATAGAAAAGTAACGTGTACCTATCCCGATATTAAGACAGCCCCGGTGGGATGCATGTGTCGTGTGGCCCCATGTTCGCGAAACAAAAAATCAAATAGTTGATTACTCGGCTAATTCACACAATCATTTGCTAAGAAGCCTGGCTCGCTGTGCATCTTCCCCACACGTTCTATTCGGGCTGCCATGACCGTCCTGGCCACACCTTCGACCTGCCCATCCCGCCTCTGCCACTCTTAACTGCTCTTCATTCTCATCACTCTCCGCCCATTCTCTCCACTCGGCCAGCTTTATTCCCTCTGCTTCATTCCGCTCCTTTCGCTTTTACCGTTCCTCTATTGCCTTCCTCTAATGCACTCCTCTCTTCTCCGACTCCTTTGTCCGCCTCTTTCGATCTCCTTCCCCCCCACCCTGTGCGTTTCATCCGGGTCCACTCGGCCCAGCCCCGCGTCACACGACGACAATCCCGGGTTGGGAATTACATTTAAGTAAATACTGCAAAAATAGGGATTTATGTGACGAGTCTTCTAAATGAGTTTTTAAAACGAACCCGGAAGGTAAACTGCGAGGTGGAGAGATAGCGAACCCGAGTAGTTAACCTTCTGGGTGAGTTCTTAACGACCAATAGAGGACTACTTACATTAAATGCTTTTTTTATTTCTATATAGCTTATAGCTTATACCTTATTAAAAATAAACTTCTATCACTTTCACGAGTTAAGAATTCTGTGGACATGGGTATAAGTTCTTAAGTCAAAAATCTGAGTTTGGAGAAAGCAAGGGTAAGATTATTGAGCCGTATGAGTGGTATGAAGATATATTTCCCAACGCTTTTTTTTACGTTAGAAAGCAACATTAGAAATCGGTCGTTTTACTAAAATAAATATAGGTAATTAACTTGACGTTTCGGTACTCAACCCAATTTTGCCAAAAATTGACTTAAGAACTTATACCCCGTGACCACAGAATTGTCATTACTCTAGATTTTTTCAGCAAGGGTTGGTGGTACTGGATACTTTGTGATAAAATAGTTGAATGATTTTTTTACTAATGCAAACTGATTGAGAAAAAATTCCCGGCAATTTCGAAGTATCACAAGATATTTTCATGCAAGATGATATTCTGGGGGACGCAGAAGATGCGAGCTCTAGTTTGAAGCCTTCTAAATCTTTAACCACTTAATAAAAGCTTATGATTTATTTTGAGATTGGCGAACGTAAAGGAATGTTTGAGGCATTATCGAAGAGATTATGCTAACATACTACTTTCAAGATGTCTGTACCAATATAAAAAATGTATTTGTAAAAATAAATTTTGTTTACACTCATTCCCAAAAATTGAGTTTTGTGTCAAAGTCATATTTATCCGAAGATTTATGAGCACTAAAAAAATGTAAACCTGAAAGTCCTCTAAATTGATTTTTAATTGACTCTCGAGCATTTTAATGAACGTTGCTATGAACGCTCTCTTAAAGCGTTGTTTAGATGGCTGGTTGCTAAGGGGCCAAGTGCGTGATTACCGATGTAAATAACAAAACAGTAGTTAGCCTAAACCTACAAGACATTGATAGAAATCGGGTAGTTCGTCAAGTAACTGACAAAAGCTGACCTATCATTGTTAAATTAGTCAGTTACAGGAAACGCAACGAAATGTTCCGCTCGAGACGGCTGCTCAAGCATACTGGGATAACGATTCGCGAGGACCTCACGAAATCGCGCCTGGTTTTGCAACAAGCTGCCATTGACAAGTTCAACCTCAGGAATGTGTGGACAAACGATGGCACAATCGTAATTAAACACGGTAACGATCGTGCCCGGATGCAAACCAGAGCCCAGGCAGAGGCACTTAATTCTTTTTCTTGTGTTCCCTCCACAATAACCCTGTGGAGAAGGGAAATTTATTTACTTTAAATTTTTACATTGAACTGCTGCCTTGCGGCTTAAGCAGCTAGAGGAGGGGCTTTTTCTTACAGCTATGTTTTACATTCTAGTCCTAAAGTTAACTTACTTGCACTTTGGCATTACTACCTTACACTAAGATCAGTTTTGTTAATACTATAATACTACAGAAATTGTTACTTTACGGGTGAGATTTTTTTTCTCTCTACATTCACACATCATTCATACTTGTTTCATTATATACATAACCATTCATTCTTCCCATTCATTCGCGCTTCACTACACTACACACTGTTCGCCACGGCACTTAATCCTTTGCGTAGGAGCGCACCCACCCTTCTACCCCCACTCTACACCTTCCCGCCACAACCACTTTCGGATTTTTTCCGAGAACTCTCCTTCCCTTCTTCTCCTAACATTGCTTCTGTAAATCCTCTGTAAATGCTACTTCTTTCTTCCGTGCACATCCTGTAAACCTGTTACCTGTGGGTGGCCAGATCGTCTCCCCGACCGTCCAAGCGTCTGGCACTACAAGTCTAATCCTCTAATCCTCGCTCCCTCTGTCTGCACGTTGCACACTTATATACCCAGCCTCTGCCCTGCCATTTCGACGAAATAACGGAAATAATATCTAAACACCGTTTTCATGCACTTCTCATATGCGAAACCTGGTTGAAGCATTCTCTCAATTGCGCGCTAGTAGCAATTTCAGAGTACCGTCTAATTAGAGCTAATCGGAAGCCGCACACGGTGGAGGCGTCGGTATATACATTCGCAAAGGTCTTAGGCATAAACTTGTACTATTTTCAACAAGTACGGTTGCCTCCGTAACGAATAGCTTTTTATCGAAGTTGGACTTTTAAGGAAAAAATGTCTCTTGGCTGTCATATATTTACCTCCTAAGACAGGCAGCATAGATATGCTGAACGAAACTTTGCATATGCGATACATTCCTATGAACACGTCATTATAATGGGTGACTTTAATCATTACTTATTAAAAGCCTCTCCCTCTGCAGAGCATTTTATGCGCTTTTTCTACATGCCTCGAAATTTTACATATCTTCTATGTGCCTCGAAATTTTACCTCTAGCACCAACACACCATTCATAGAACAGAGAAACTTGTATCGATCATATTATATTGTCTAATACAAACAAAGTTCAAAACACGGACAATTTCCAGTTCCTGAGATTTCAAAGCACGACTTAATTTACCTTGTTTACAACCTGAAGTGCCCTTAATACTCACCTCACATAATCAAATACCATCATTTTCAAAAGTTGATAAGTAAGCATTTAATATAGGTGGATTGACACTTCCATTGCACCTTGTACACGAAGAAGAATCACTGGATGACAAAGTGACGATTTTCACTAACTTAATAATACAGTTCTATGACCGGCATGCGCCTTTAAAAATTTCGCGTGTAACTCGTCCTCCTGCACCATGGTTAACTGATGAAATCCGAAATTTATTAAAAGATTGTGATACAGTATATGATATTTTACGGAAAACTAAATGCGAACTACTTAAAAAACAGTACAAAATGCTCAGAAATTTAGTCACGCAAAAATACCGCAACGCTAAAATAAAATATTACCACACCACCTTCGGCAGAAACAGCGACTCGAGAACGATTTGGAAACATCTGAGAAATCTAGGAATAGTCAAAGGTTCTCCTCAAATTGAAACAAATACACCCTTAGAATCACTTAATCATAATTTCATAAATAACGTTCCTTCATTTGACAGTAACTTGAAAAGGCAATCTCTTGCGTTTCTCCAAAAATCAGGAATACAATCCAACGACAATTTTGTTTTTCGTCCTTTGAACATCAGGATTTAATCAAAATCGTTCAAAATCTCAAATTAAATGCTTCAGTTTCCGATGGTATAAATGCCAAACTGCTAAAAAATAGCCTAGATGTGACCCACCCAATCATCACCGAAATAGTAAATTTCTCACTAATGAGCGGACAATATCCCTTATTCTGGAAGACTGCTCTCGTGCATCCTATTCCCAAGACCGCATCAACTAAAAACGCTATTGAATACCGCCCAATTAGCATTCTCCCAACTATCTCTAAAGTACTAGAAACAGTCGTCTGGAAGCAAACTGAACAGTATCTTCGAAAAAGAAAAAAAACACTTTTAAACGATTAGCAATCAGGTTTACGTTCCAGCAGGAATAAAGGAACACCGCTACTAAACCTCATTGAAGACGCGAGAACAGCAATAGATTACAGTAATGTAACTATTTTGGTTCTTGTTGATTTCAGCAAAGCATTCGATTCAGTAGATCACATTCTGCCTGCAAAACTAAAGATCATGGGATTTGCACAGCCCACGCGTACATGGTTTTTTAATTACTTAACTTCCAGAAACCAAAGAGTTGTGTCCGGCAACCACAGCTCAGGGGACTTGAGGCTAAACCGCGGAGTTGCGCAAGGCACTGCGTTAGGGCCACTGGTCTTCTTAATCCATGTAAATGACGTAGGAAACGCACTTACATATTGCAATCATCAAATTTATGCGGATGATCTTCAAATATATCTAACTGGTCACCCGTCTCACATCTTATCACTCGTACAAAAACTTAATGAATATTTGATAACGATAAACAACTGGGCAGAGTCTTTAGCCTTACAATTAAACCCAAACAAATCACAGTGCATCATTATCAGTTCGAAAAGCACTATGAATAAAATCTCATCTTCTGCTTTGCCGGATATTTATATAAATGACACCACTCGCAGCTGGAATCAACGGTTTTTTGTCTCAATGCATTCACTGAAATGCCTTCGAGCACTTTTACCAGGTAGCACATATGAGACTCTCATCAAATCACTTATCATGACACATTGACTATCGCAGCTTTCTTCTGACCAACATGTTATTCAAATTACAACGTAAACTTCAAGTAGCCCAGAACGCATGCATACGTATTATTTTTGATCTAACAAAATACGACCATGTATCGGCATTTTTTGACAGAATTTGTATGCTTACTCCACACAAAAGACGGTTACTCCACTCTCTACTTCTTCTTTATAAAGTTTTAAACGCTTCTCATGCAACACGCCTCATAACTTCAATCCTCTGAAACTAAATCGAGCTCGTGAATCAACTTTGCTTTGTGTACCACGTCAGAACACGACTTCGTTCGGTAGATCATTTATCATTACAGCTATCCGAGCCTGGAATAAATTGCCACAGGTCAGGAATGTCAAAGAATAAAAATATTTTGTAAATTAAGTTTGACACAAATCTGGAATACTAAAACATTGAATCTGTTATTCAAATGGAATTGTATCTAGAATACTAAAACATAATGAAATAATAAGCGTAATAAAGAAAAATAAGAACAAGTACCACTGCAAAAAGGAATTTCAAAAAAACACAATGATCATGAAGAGATAGGAAATAATAATTAGGTTAAATGGGCACGCAAATAAATTATGAGTATAAAGCAATAAAAAAGCACCTTTGAATGAACAATAATAAAGAAAATGTAGCTGATATTTCGTAACTTCTTTCTTTTAATAATAGTAAGCTTTTATGCTTCACTGTTCTTGTGTTAAAATACATTTAAGAATAAATAAATAGCTAATAATTTTACTGTTACTTCCCAATAACAAATTAAAAATATAACTCACAGCCATAACAAGAAACTTATGATTTGTAGAAATAGAAAATAAACCATTATTTTCTTATTTACCACAAGTAACAGAAAATGTACTACAAAAAACAGGACAAAAGATGTCAGAAAGGGCAAATACTGTCTGTACATGTGGATCCATATATCGCAATATAAAATCTGCAGAATGTAGGTGGAAATTAAGGTAAAATTTATCAACTTACAGAATTGGTGACCTGACACAGAGCCTAATGTAAATGGCTAAAAAAAAGAAAAGAAAAAACAACACAAAAAACAGAGACTATACATTATGATCTCTTATACAAAGAGGATCAAATCATTATTTTCATAAGTGGATTGCATAACAAAATGAAGAAATGCAATGTGATGGCAAATTAGAACTAGAATGTGAGAAATAATTATTAATTAGAATTTTCACTGGAATTCCCACTTTAAGGACTTGGTTAAAAAATGTAAGGTGGTGAGAATATGTTTATGAAAATGTATGTCCCCGAAAAATTACTTAGCAAAGTATTTAAAAAAATAATAATAATAATAAAAAAATTAAAATAAAATAAAATAAAATAAAAAATGAATAAAAAGTAAGCTATCAATTAAGATTTGAATCTGTTATAAGTTATGAAATTGGAATTTGAATTGCTGTTTCAAAAACCCATATAATAAGAATTCAAAAGTTGTAAAATAGAATAGTGGAACTTTTTTTTCAATGAGCAATACATACTAAATGAGATCATAAATGTTTATAAATATCATAACAACTTCATAAAAATTAAACAAATATAAAGTAGTCCAAACAATTAAAATATGTTGAGATAGTACTTAAAAAAAGTGTGGTATTTTCATTCATTGGTATATTTTTTTTGACTTAGCACAGTTTTATAAAGTGTATCATCTGATTTATTAATTAAAGGGTAATAAGTATGAATAAAATTGAAGTCTAATTGTTCTTACAAATGATTGTGTCATAAATGTTCAAATTTAATAAACTCTTTGTGGTCCCTATGTTTGCACATTTTTTTAATTATTTTTTATTGTTTACAATTGTTCTATAACTGTAGGCTAGACTCCTCATTGATGTTATACTTTGATATCTTGGCTAGTGCAAATATTGTTTTGTTTACCTCTGTAATCTTAAGAGCAGTCACTTCTAGTAAACATTAGAGGCATGCATATTATTACCGGAGATTTTTATTATTGAGAGTAAGATTTTTTCTTTCTGGTATAAGATGTACGCATTTTAGAATATATTTACTGAGATTTGTTTGATTTATAGCTTGCTTAATATATAATATTGTTGTGTGAAGTGAAAATGACATAATTAAGATCTGTTGATTGTTGGTGATACTCCAATTGAAATTTCTTGTATTTTTCTCTACTAAAAACAGTTAATCTGAATTGTTTCTTAAAACAGTGTGTACCAAATTTAAATTGAAGGAGTAGAATTTAAAATTCAGTAATCAGTAGATGAGTTTACTAGGTTATGCTATGAGTGTACTAAGCTATTGCTAAGCTATCCATGTGAGGGAGGGAGGGAATTAAGAACCCACCCAGATCACGTTGTAAACTGTAACGTGGGTTTGCAACTATCTATAATATATAGAATTAATAATAAATTTCTCTTCATGTGCCCAAATAATGATTTCATCAACACATACAAAATTGCAAAGTGCAACATAATGCCAGATTTTCATGCACTAGGTGGTTTTCTAATCCCTTTACTCTAGATTTGCGTTTTGGTTTCGTTCTTCTCAGCTGCTACATCTTGCTGTCTAAAAGACAATTTTTCAAACTTTCTCAATTTTTCGGTGCCCTGTTAGTAGAATGAAACATTACTTCATAATATTATAGAAATGTAAAATATTGTTCTATATCCAAATTTTCTATCCTGAGAAGACATTTTGAAAATAAAATAGTTTGTTAAGGTGCAAAAACTGATACAATGATAAATTTAGGATAACCAGGATACATTGTTTCATATACATTTTTATTTGATTATTTGTGAAATGACATGTTAATAAAATTATACTATAATTTACATTTAAGTAAATTACTCTTGTTATTTTAACTGTTTTTTTTATTTATTTTTTTTATTTTTATTTTTTTTTTATTATTATTATTTTTTTTTTTTACTTGGCTCAATTTTTGTGCTAGGCAAGAAATTCATTTACTAAATTCTACATCCCACTCCTTCAATTGAAATTTGGTACACACTCTTTTAAGAAACAATTGAGATTAGTTAATTGAAATGGGTTTTAACGAAGCAAAATACAAGAAAAAAAAATGGAACATCACCAACAATCTACAGATAATCTTAACTACACAATTTTCACTTAATGCAACAAAATTATAGATAGAATGAAACTTTATTTTACAATTGGGCATAAATGGCCCGATGGCAGAATGTAGAAACATGAAAGAAGCTTTATGCATCAAGTAAGCTATAAATCAAATAAAATCTCAATAAATATAATCTTAAATGTATATATCTTATTATATCAGATTCACAAAATCGTACTCTCCTTAATAAATATAAATGTACAAAAATTGCAAAACTAAAAAACTAAAAAATCAACGAAAAATAGAAAACACAACATTGTTCACTTAACATCTCAATATATTCTTAAATTGATTATTTATTTTATGTTGAACAGCTTAAAATATAGTATTACACTGTTCTTCTGAACATGTCATTTAAGCATTTCTGAAAAGTGTGAGATTTTTAAAAAATTTTTAATTTGAAGCATGTGCCTGTAAATGTAATAGTGGATAAAAATTCTCATAAAGTAAATATTAATGACGTGAAAGATATTTTTTTAAAAACTCTGAGTAATTTGTGAAAAACTAAAAGAATACAACAAAATGGCTTTTATAAATCTATCCACTTCAGTTGGGTAAAGTCAAACAGTATGCCATTCTAATCAGTTTCGTAATGAAGTTCCTTACCTCCCCAATGTGGTAAAATATTACATTACTGTACTAGAGCAGTAAAGTAATGGCGTGTTTGCCACTTTTGTTTATAATATTTTAGACTTCTTTGTCTTGTATCCTTCGCTTTTAGTCTTTAAAAAACGCTAATAACGAGAAAACTTAACTAAACTGATATCAATATTATCATTAAGTGATATTGTACTCTTTAACTTAAAGTTAGTGCAAAGATAAAGTGACAAGACGTCCCATATTAGCCGGGACACTCCCTGTCCTGTATTTTTTAACAGGAAAACTGAACGCTTAAATGTCCCTTTTTTGTGTCAATTACTTGTCACCATAAAATCCCGCAATAATGTTATATTTATCATAAACTATTCCGATCGCTTCGCATTTATTTATAAAACAAGTGGGAATAGATAGTGTCCTCACGTGCTACGTAACCAGTGTGTAGTCTAGGAGCAAATGAAGCCAAGGTGCCATTTCAACATGCTTTATCTCTGACGATATTTTTATGGAGAAATTCAATTGTCCGATCCTTCTGCTTCTGAGGAATTCTGTACGATTTGATATGCAATTTTAATTGAGAAATAATGACATACTTCGAAATGATTAAAAGTGCTAACTAAAACAATGTAAATTTTAAAAAAAATCTAATCTTCTTTTCTACGGGATTCTTTGGTGGCGTGAATTGAATGCTACATAATGAAAGTTTTACTATTTATTTATTTAACCTTAATTTCGAAACTATAATATTTGTGATAAAATAGTGTTTAACCGTCCACTTTTATCTTCGTAACAAAAACTAAAATGTCCCTTCTTTATGATTTCAAAATGTGGTCACCTTATCCCAGGACTAGTTGATTTCTCCTTCTGTGATTTGCCAGAAAAATAAAGAATCAAAATGTTTTCGAAATGAAAGTTTTCTTTCCACATCTTTAAAAATTATGTACTCACGTTCATATTTCTTTCTTGATTTGTTGGGAAACCATGTTTTTATAGCAGCTTTTGCTGCTATTTCTATTTCCGAATCAGAACTGTAAACACTCATGTCAAAAAGTGTGCTTCAATTGTTGTCTTTGTTGAGAACAGTGTCGCCACTTAAGAAGAAAAAAATGTGAATACTAAATGGAGGCGTAGAACAAATTTTCAAATTAAATCTAAAAGATTTTTACAAAGTGGATCAAACGTTGTACGACATTCGTGTCGTAACATCTGATTCCAATACTTTATTGGTTACCAAACTCGGCCTAAGGACCTCGTTTTGCAGTTTTGCAATCTCGTATTGTAATCAGAAGCTCTACGACACCTATATCGTAAATAACTATTATCTTATGTACTACATCACTATGTGATACGCATATATCACTCATATTTTTGAAAAAATGAACATGGCATTATCTGAAAAATAAGTTTGTATGACCAGATTTCATTAAGGAAAATATTTCTATCTGCATTATTGTAGTGATAAGAAATCATTAAAACCCTTCTACTCCTCAATTCATTAAAGTATAAAAACGTCCGTAATGTTTCATTTTATTGTCCGTAATGACTTATTAACGACGTGTATTTCATACGACCATATATTTAAAAAAAATTACATTTGTGTAATATTGAAACAAATATATCAAATATCAAAACTGTAAATCAAAAGAATAAATCAAAATGGCGGTAATGGTATGGAATTCAGTGCACTTAGCAATATCGGTACGAAAAAGTTAAAGAAACGAAGGTCTCAACAGCACATACTTTCTAGCGTTAGCAAAGGTTATGTGAAGTTATAATACCGCAATTTCTTAACCATCAATTTCCTTTCATATTAACACATCTCAGCTATCACTTGCAAAACTCGTTACCAACTGTAGCGCGTTACGCTCGAAATGTAGGCTTATACATCAACACAAACTCCTTTCCATTCACACAGAAACAAAAGTTATTCTGAGAATTTCAATTTGCGTTGTCTTGTCGTTCACAATGCAACCTGATAACTCCTGAAAGATTCTTGAAAAATATGTACGGGGAATTCAAATCAGCAATTTTTTCAATGTTTGCAAGTTACTCTAAAATTCTAATATTATAGTAGAAATTGTACATGGTTTTGTTAAAGAACTGATGTTTTGAACTAGTTTTAAAGTAAAAATCTTTATTACTAATAATGTACTTTCCAATGTTGAATTTTTTAAAACACATGTAGTTCACCGACAATGGGAGTAGCATCATTTTCTTTACCGTTATTTGCTATACGAGGGAAATTATAAAGAAAACCTTGGGACCAGTTTATGAGATATTACAAAATTGCTTTTGTATCACGGAAAAAACACTCATATTTTCGAAAAATTGAACAAAAACGTATTTGAAGATATGTTTTTGATGAACAGATTTCATTTAGGAAAACATTTTAGTCTTCATTATTGTAGTTGTAGGTAAACGCCGAAAGACTTGAATTTTTGTATTTTTCAAAACTTCTGAGAGTTTAGCACAAATGAGACATACGCCATTTCTAAGTGTCTTTCAGTTTCTTCTCTGAAATCTTCTGTAAGGGAAAAATTCGAAGAAAAAAGTTAGAGCCATTTTTAGAAAATTGTTGAACTGTGTTTAAGGTTTCATGTAACGTCAGCCCAAAAATCAATACATGTTTCAAATTCAAAAGACCGTGACATCAGTCAGATCGATCGGGAATATAAATTTTGGTGCAAATCCTGCTTACGGTTTAGCCGCGTAATTTCTTACATACACATCGGACTTTTCGGTATAAAGTTGTATAGTGTAAATCCACCAAACGTGAATTCACACTATACAACGTGTAAGAGGAACTAATTTATTACATTTAGGAACAAGATTTATTCCCTTTATCGTTACAAAGGCTTGGCTGAGTTTTGCTGTTTTCCCACAGCATTGCAATACTTTCTCTACACTGCGTAATCAAGAAGCAAGGAAGTAAAAAATCAAAAACTTTATATTTGAAAAGTCAAAATTAATTAAATTTCTCCAGTATTACAAAAATTATCTCCAAGGCATATTATTTGCCCTAGGATTCTGCACTGTTCAGCGAAAACTGCATTTCGATATCGTAGATCGTTTAGAAGTTATAGGGATTGTTTGTCAGTAGGACGTTGAGTATCTTCACACTCACCGCTTCACTTGCTGTTCTCTCTTTGCTCACTGTTACCCAGTCCAAGTTCGCTGTACTTCCAGGCTTTTATACCATGCTCTAAATATTCTCTCTTCAGCGTATCTGGATGTGTGCGTATCTGGATTCTTCTAAGAGCTCATTTCCATGTTCACGGCCGACGCCATTCGCTCTATCTCAAAGAGCATGCTAATTCGCCAGACAACTAATCCCTCCAGGGATGTGTGGCCATGGTGTCTCACAAAAACCCCGGGACGCAGAAAAGGGGGAACAGCAATTTCCCGACCCTACAACACTTGGTTCTCAAAAAGCTTCTCAGCCGATTCTTCAAGATTTTCCTGCAGAATTCAAGCTGTCGCGCAGGCAAAAAGTGCTTCATGCGTACAAATGTTCCCAGTTTTATTAAGACCAATCTCATTAGGTTTGGTTTCGAACTTCTTATACAAATGTATATAATTTTTTTCGTTCAGTGACATTTTTACATGTATCATTAATGATTAACTCATGTACAGTTTATCAAACCACTGCTATT